CTTCTATGCTGCTAGCGAAAAGAATCTCTAGCGAAGTCGGCAACTGTAAAGTTTTTTTTTAGCCATTTTCTCTGTCTCTCTCTATCTCCTCAAAGACGTAAACTGATGGGAGACACGTGGTTTATGTTTTTTTTCTTGGTCGGTAGGTCCTTAGTCATTTCAGACGAACATGGCTGCCGGCCGAGATTCCCTTGACGGACACACCAATCCACCAATCCCACACAGTGTAAAGTCAAGCTGCTTTGAGCGGCCATATTGGCTGCTGTGCCCTGGTTACAGTCAGGAGGTACCGCTGGAAAGCTACACTTCCAGCGATTCCGCAGATAGCTGAATCATATTTCTACTCCTTATAATCGAAAATATATGATTAATTACGTAAATGGTGTGCACCTGGACGCGTCCACCGACTCCAGAGGGTTAATGTTCAGAGGTTGTTATTGTTCTCATACTGCCTATGCTGCGGCACCTCTTTTCACCCTCTGTCTGAAACCAGACAGAGGAACTCCCTTTGGAGGGAACTTTGGGATTTTAGCCTTTGCAGACCATTTATATGCACAGAAACCTATAACACACACTGCAGGGAAAGGAAAAATACCCAAAAAAGCATAATAGGGCCCCTTTAAGGCACTAAGTATTACTAAGTAATACTCAGTATTCACAATGGCTCTTTTTACAGTATTATGTAGTGTTATCGCCGACAAATATGTCATATAATTCAGATTTTGTAGTTTGTCAATGTAGAGATAATTTTAGAGGCTTTTTAAATGAATGGGTCGATTAGTGGGAGAGAACTGCATCATATCATGTAGGCACATCATGTGTTTATATATGAACAAAGGAGCAAGTAAATATGATAGTTAAAGTGCACCAATCATGCTATTTTTAGGCAATAGCATAGGTCTCAGATATATAAAAATATATAAAAAACATGTCTGAAGTGTTTTGCTCAAAATACCAAACAGATCACCCATTCTAGCCATGCCTCATATCCCTCTATTTCACTTCCTGTTTCAAAAGTAGTGATTTTTGATCCGGTTATACCACAAGGTGAGTTCCTTTTTATATCCAGCTTCTTCACACACATGCTCTGTGCAGTACAGGTTAGCTCTGAGTGTTAGCGATGCTAATGTAAACACCGACCATATTACGTCCAAAACAGTCGGGCATTGTTTCTGATAGTGCCGTGGGTCCACATTACTGATATACAGTGTGCGAAAAAGTACACGTCCCACAGTCCGGGACGTGTTATTTACAATATCGGACAAGTAGATCTTTCAATTGACTTGTCCGGTGTAGCACAGTGGCAAGGTTGGGAAGCAAAACTCGGTTCCGAGTAGGAACAAATAACAATTGTCCGGTATCGGGATCCGGCGCTGTCCTCACATCCCCGGACCCCCAGACTCAGAGGAGCACAGGGATGTCAGTATTGTTTATGAAGCAGGGTATAGAAAGTATCTACATTATTGAAATTAAAATACTATTTATTTACTTTTACAAACAGTGAGCAGCTGGGCAGCTGCAGCATGTGTATTGCAGGACATATGTGTAAGCGTGCAAGCGTCTTTGAGTTGTAGAAAAGCGCTAGGCCTATAGCAGGCTATACATCTAATGTGTCATTATTATTATTATTATTAGGTTATGTCCTATGTGTTGGACATGTGTGGTTGGACTCTGTCTCACAGGCAGGTTGCAGTGTAACATCAGAGGAGACTGGGCCAATTGTACATTCTCAAACTGCACCACTTAGAACCAACTAAACAATGCAGAGATTATTTTTATATAATTGTATTCAATAACCGTAAGAAATTCAACAGTATGAAGTTATTTGTAAATAGGAATACAGATTTGACTTAATGTTTTCATAAATATATTTTTCTCCCAGTTTGTCATGGGACTTATTTTAACCCTCTCAAAGAACTGGAATCGAGAAGCAGAAACGGAATCGTTAAAATCCAAACGATATCCAACCCTATGTGTGATGCAGTAAAATCTTACCGCTCACTTACGTTAGCGGTGTCCTAAAAACCGTGGGAAAATGTAAAATACGATGGCGAAAAAGAAGATTCCAGTGGCCCCAAATTTTTGTCCATTCTGGACAAGTGAAAAATGTATTCGGACAAGTAAATTGCCAAACTCACTTGTCCATGGACAAGTACTCTCTAAAAACTTTTTCTCACACTGTGATATAACGTCATATCGGACGCAAATCTGGATCAGCTCCATTTTTAGAGATTTGGGTCCGGAGGAAAAGAGAGAGGGTTTTATTTTCTGACACTGCGTGAGTTCCCTGACACACCGGGACACATATTTATGTATAAAAGACATAAAAAAGTGCATTTTGCATGATAAATATCATGTAGGCCAGGGGTGCCCAACCTTTTTTGAACCGAGAGCTACTTTTAAAGTTGCCAGTCTGCCGAGATCTACCAGTCCAAATAGAGAGGCGTAGCCAGCCTACTACCAGGTAAATACACACTTCTACTTGTATAAAACTGACCTTTGTACGATTAATACTCCATAAAATACTGCAGATCCTTTATTTTACCTCTTTCTAATCTACACACATACAAGTATTTAACTGAAGTTACACAACAGTGTTGTTGATACAGAGTTGGAGTTTATTCACACGTCACATACTACAGTGGGTAATGTTTTCAAGAAACATTGAACAGTGCTGCCACATATGACACAGGAAAAAAAGAAAAGACTCTGAACCCTTTCTTTGCCATTATATAAAAATAGTGTTGCTACAAAAGTATAAATGAGGCTTACTAATAAGACAACTCAGATCTGAAGCTACACAGGAATCTGCTGCAACAGTGCAATAAAAAAGACAAAATTAATAGAATCAAACCCTTTTTTTGTAGCATTTTAGTAGAATATAAAAATAAATGCCTTTAAAATAGGATGCAAGCAACACTAGTTTCTTAACCTGAATTGATAATAGACTATAATCAATTTAAACAGAACAGATCTTAATGTTTGCATTCTTATACCATTTTGTACAATAATTATAATGAATAAGTTCAAACAAACTAAAACTTACAGCTGATTAATAACGATATCTAACTTGAGTTTTTATTATATCAAAAGCCTGTTGAAATGCTACTGTTATTTACTGTCCCCAAAAAGCGCATCAGCAGCCTCCAGGAAAGCTTCTTTCACAACTTCGCCGTCTTTGAAAGACTTCATGTGTTTCGCAAGAACGTGACTGACACGATACGATGCTCTGGTAGCAGCCTTGCTCTTGTTGTTGGGCCTGGTGGAAATGGACTGCTGTGCATTTAGCTGTCCTTTCAGGCCCCTCCCCTTTTGGAGCGTAGGGCAGAATTAGATGGGAATTCCGTCTCGTAGCGTTTGTGCACTGTTTTGAAATGCCGCTCCTAAATTACCTTTCTTCGATAAAGCCACGCTCGCATTGCAGATGAGACAGATGGACTTTGAATTGGAATAGATACACAAATAATCATCCTCCCACTCGGAGTGAAAATTATATATTTTGGGCTTTTTTGCTTCTGCCGTAATTACGGTCTTGTGTGTGTGCGGACTGTCACTCCTGTTGACACGGACAACGTCAGAGAATTAGTGCCCACCAGCCACGCCCCGACACATGGGGTCACACCGGCCAATCACAAAGCTTTGATGCGTTCAAGTGCATTATTCTGGCACAGGAAGATTATGTTATAGGACATTAACGATAAAACAGAATGTTGTTGTTCTATTTTTAGACACATCTCGCGATCGACTGGGAATCTCCCCGCGATCGACTGGTTGGTTACCCCTGATGTAGGCACATCATGTATCATGCAAAATAAATATAGTGGAGTCAAAAGTACAATACGGTGTAGAAAAAGAAGATACTCAAAGTATGTCAAAAAAGTACTTGAGTCAATGTACTTTGATACAGTCCACCACTGCCAAACAGATGCTTTTGGGATCCGTTTTGTAGCCCAAATAATATGCAGGTCATGATTTCTGTCATAGCTGTAATAACATAAAGGAAGTTATTCCTTCCTCTCCTATTTAACTCCAGATGTTTTTCTGTCATACATTTATTTAAATAATCTATTTTCACATTTATATTTATTCAAACATCTGTAACCAGTGGAAAGTGCCGGAATGTGCCTGCAGTCAGCGGTTAGCTTCGAGAGGAACGAGCTGACTGGTAGGAGGAGGTGGACAGTGGTGGAGACCACCCACTCACAATGTGCTGCATATTATCACCTGCTGCTTTACTGCAGATGGCACGCTATCAAAGCGCTGCAGAGGAAGAGGAGGAGGGTGGAGCTCTGCTGCTTCCATCCACACAGGGAGGGGGGGGGGCAGCAGTTATAGGACAAATCTGGGCTCTCCTGTCAATTGATGACAAATGACACAATTTGTTATAAACATGAAGCCCGATGTTCTTCAATGTTTCTTCTAGATAAACACCGACGATTTACAATCAATTTACGTTTGCCAAATGTTCCAGTCAAGTCCGTAGAACCAAACTTATAGATGCTTGATTAGGTATCTCACAAAAATAACCAACTTTCTTTACAACAATATATTGCTTAGGAAATCATTTCTAGTCTACCTTTCACAGAGCAACACAAAATGTTCAACGTCTGCGCCATCACCAAGTCTTGTAATGGTAGGGAGCACTTTGCTGTTTATTCTGGTACCATGTTGGTTCAAGTGCATGGTCAGCATTCTTATATAAACCAACACGCATGTAAACACAACAGGCAATATTGAGTTTATGTCAATATATCGTACCATAATAGAAACTCCACAGGGTACCTTTAACCTTCAGAGAAATACAGAAGCGGCACTAGAGCTCAAAATTAAGCTCATACGCCATCACCCTTACTTTGACCTGAGAAGCATCACGATCTGATTCAGCTCAGATTACTCATTTTAGATGCGTTCAGAGAATATAATCCAGAGTGGATGCATTAGCCAGATCCTGATCTGTATTCCTTTCCTAAAGCTAACTTTCCTCTCTCCTTCCTCCACAGGGGAACAAGAAGCTGTGCCCGCAGTGCAACACCATCACCTCGCCCGGAGACCTGAGGCGCGTCTACTTGTAAAGAGCACACCTCCCCTCCCCATCCTCCTCGTCATTCAGATCCATTCCTCCTCTCATCTCGGACTTCATCGCCCTCCCCGTCGATGGTTCATTTGTTTCTCCCCCTCTCCCTCATGGCCTGGGTCAGCAGCTCCAAACCCTCCAAGAGCGGACAGAGACAAGACGGCCGTCTGAGACTCCACTGGCTCTTTTTCAGGAGGTTCAAATAAGTGAAAGACTAAGCACTGACTCTCAACCACTCAAAAAAAGATACGGAGACCTGCATTTCCTCTGGTCACTGGCTTGTTTCCACACTGACTCCCTGTACATGTAACATGGGCTCCTCCACTGAAGGACTTAAAGTCAGTGGAAAGGCTCCGTGCTGCTGGAGCTGGACCTGAAAGGAACTCCTTCATACAGAATATAAAGACTTCTTTGTTTCCCCCCCTAGCTCTTCTTTGATGGTGCTGGACAACGGGCTCTACCCTGAAGACTTGACAGAAAGTTCCTTTTTTTTGTGCCCTGTCCCAGAGAGAAAACATGACTCTCCCCTGTTGCTTAAGAGAATACAAAAAATAAAAAAGGCCTGTCCACTGAGCTTTCAACCAAACTGAGAATAACCTCACGACCTTGAAAAGGAGTTGACACTCCTCTTCCTCCACCTCTTCTTCTCGCGAGCCCCCCCCCTCCCCCCTTTGTGGTGTTCTAGTGAAGTAAACCAAAATGTCCCCCCTCTCCAAGATGCGGTGCAAGCACATGTAATATAGTTCTATGTATGTTTACAATGTTGGGTGTAAATGACATAGAGTTCACACACACATGTACACACACACATTTCCATGAGCAGACACACACAGAAGTATATAATATCAAAGTCCTGTTGTAAGTTGGAAGGGTCTGGGAATGATGTTTGGGGGGAAAAAAATGGCTGGAATAAAAGAAGCCTTCTGTATTTTTAAAAAAAGATCATTTGAAGATCTGTTATTTCACTGTACAGGAATGAAAACATTTAAGTAATAATAAACTACTCAAGACTAGATGGTCGAAGTTTAGGTGGTGTAATTTTTCTGCAGAGTACCCTGAAATACTGTAGAACACGAAGAAAATAAAAACCTTTTGTTAGTTTTATCGAATGAAGAGTTTCCTATTGCCCAAGATTTACTGCAAACAAGCAGAACTATGGAACTGTTCTTCTGTTGCAACGAAGTCCAACTGAGCCTCTCCTTTTAACCTCCATCTCTGCTTCCTCTCAGCTGGAGTTACATCATGCTCACATCATAGTCTAGAAACATTTTGGTTTTACCCCTACATGTCTCAAAAGAAAGCTTTTCCCATTGTTCTCATACTGCTACGCTGCGAAAAAGGTCCCAAAACGGCAACCCCCGAAGAGCAGGTTGTTTCTAGCTATAAATGCTGAGGAAAGTTTCTGGAAAAGAAGGATGGCCGAGGCTGAACTGGCAACTTCCAGAATCCGCAGCATTACCCCCTTCTCTTTACGGCAGCAGCAAATAAGGTGGTGGTGTGCTTTGTGTTTGTAAAACTATGTATTCTGTGACGTCTGTATTGTTGTAAGAAATGCTGAAAAAAAATGAAAAAATAAAAGATCTCAAATACCACGTAGTCTTGTTCTCTCAAAAGGGGCGCTCAATAGCATGTTAGCCCAGTGGTTCTCAAATGGGGGGGGGGGGGGGGGGGTACGTTGGAGTACTGTCTGCAGGGGGTAGCCTACGTGAGATGCATTTTATGTTAATGAAAAAAACAACACAAGTAATACATGTAAACAAACTACTAATAGTAGACTTTATTCAAAAGTGTACAGTAACTCTGGATAATAAAATTGGAAAAATAAACGGGATGCTCTCTTTTCCTTTCTCTCCTGACCGCCCGTCAGTATCAGTCTCATGCAGCTCGCTGAACCAGTAATAAGTGAACCGACATTAAATAATACACATATGTATAACTAGTAGGCTATAGCTAGTTTCAGAGTAGATAAAATAGCTACGTGTGTTAGGTCCGTCTTACTCTTAGTGTGTGTCTTGCTCTGCTCACCGGTCCGTCACAGCGGCGGAGCTGTGATCCGGTAGAGCTGCGTGTTCTCCGTCAGCAGCAGCTGATCCTGATCTCTCTCGTACGGCCGGGTATACTTCACTCGCGTTTATGTGATGTCCAAATGAATCCATCAGATCTAGCTAGTTCTAGTTAATTATATGACTGCCTGCTTATCAAAGGACACCTAAACAATAAGTGTTGCTTGGCAACAGGGTGTGGCCTGCAAAGTATAGCTCAGCATTATCCATAGGCTATGTTTGACCTAGGGGTCAAAATCCCGTCTGGCGGTTAGGCTATAGGTATAAATGCTGATATGTTTCTTCTTCATTCCCCACGCCCCAAAATAAATAAATAAATATACCAATTTTAGGAAAAGTAACAAAGTTTGAGCAGTGTGGGTTTTATATTAATAGAGTTACACATATTTAGTGTAATAACTGCGGGTGCCTCCCTGTCACCGATAATGACAAAGATCATGTTTATCACTAAATTGTAAGTAGGCCTACAACTTATTAAAAAGATCAGTTCAATGTGTCGTCTTAGTGTTATTGCATGATGTTAAAATTAGTTTGCCATGAATTTAGTGATGGATTGTAAACATTTGAAATGTAGCATTTAAGCGTTTCTCAGTTACAAGGTTGTTGTTTTAATAAATCAGACACTGATGGTGCAGTGCTGGGGGGAGGGGGTACTTGGCTGACATTTCTTTTCAAAGGGGGTAGGGAGACCAGGGACAGTTGCAACACTTTTTGGGTTTTTCCCCAATAAGTAAAAAACCATTTACACTAGGATAGCCATTTTGCTATATTATACATTATCAATATGTCCGCTACTGAAACAATGTATTTAAAATGTTTCTATGAAATAAGTACAGGTTGGAAAATGTATTTTTTTTTAAAAACTCAACTGTTACAACTGTCCTTGTGTACAGGGACAGTTGTAACACATGCCAGGCACAGTTGTAACATGCTAATAACGGTTACCTATTTCACACTACATGACAACAAATAGGGAAAGCTGTCAAATTCTAAGGCAACAAGATTTGAATGGGGTTTCACACATCCTCCAACAAACAATGAACAATGAACAGGATCACAGATAACACACACAGCATCATCCTCTGTGAAGGATTAAACTGTTCTCTGAGAGGTGCTTCTACCTTAATTATGTAGACCTACCTCCTTTGAGCTGAGACCATAATATAAATCAGCTGCCTCCATCAGGTAGTCTCTCAAAAGCATCTCCTGCTCTGTTGAGAACACCTTCTTTGGTGTCCAGTAGCCTACTCTTGGGGGTGTTTGTGATCCCTGACTCTCCAACCTCAGCCTCTTTGTATGGAACCGGTACAGGGTGACATGGCATATATCCAGGGACTTTGCCACTTCCCTGAATGATTTGCCCTTCTCAACTTCATTTGAGGCCCTCTGCAGCAGAGCAAGTGGCACTCCCCTGTCTGTCTTCCTCTTTCTGACATTTGGCATACTGTAAACGCACACACACACACACACACTTTGCCTAATGTACAGTATTTTATTCTGTTTATTTTTACAGGGACAATGCACACCAATACAACTGTATGCTTGAATGAACAATTGATCATTCAAGCAAATGAGCCATCATTGTAAATGTGCCATGTTACAACCGTCCCGTTACAACCGTCCCAGGACCACCAGTCTTGCTTCCACCCCCTGTGAACCTGCCTGGTTGCTAGCTTGACCCATATTTAGCTAGTTATATTTGTAGCTTACAAAACAGTGATTCTAATAATACTAGTTTGGATTCCTAGACATTTGAACTCAAGACAGTATCCAAAAAATACATCATATCATTTTAGTTAATATTTTACCTCAGAAACAAACTTTTGCTGATATCTTACGCGAGAAATTCAAACATGGCTCCTTTTTTTCTCAGCGATCTTACCATCTAATTGCGCATGTGCAGAGTGAGTTTCATCACTCTAGCTTGTTTGTGATTGGAGATATTGAAAGTGTTACAACTGTCCCTGGTCTCCCTACATTATTGAAAAAGGTTTGAGAACCACTGTGTTAGCCGACAGAAAGCTGAGGAAGATGGCCTCGATGCATGACGCTTTACGTTGTAAGTATATACTGTTACGGTGTATGTTGGAAGCAGGACCCAAATGCAGATATAAACTGAAAGAACTCCTTTATTTCAAGGCTAGGGATATAAACAAAGACAAAACAGAACACTCACCGACGAACTAGTCATGACACAAGACGAACCGACACTGAACACAGGAAGAGAACAGACTAAATACAGGGAGGGGTAATCACAAGACGAGAAACAGCCGGGCAGGGGAGGAGAAACACAAGGGCCACAGGTGAACACAATCAGACAACTAGACACACCAGGGAAACTAACGACAGGGGGAAAACACAGGAAGAAGGACCAGACAATATACAAGGAGAAAAATACCCATAACCAGACATACAAAACTACAAACGTGACAAAACATGAGAATCCTGACATATACAATGCTTGTAGTCTAAATACTCACCTTTCAGTTTTTTCCAGAAATAAATGATTGCTTCTTTATAACAAGAGAAAGTATAGTTGGGCAGAAGAAAAGAAAGAGCAGTTCCAAAAAGAATGGTTAATCTCTTTACTGATGAGCTTTTGTTTTGTTGGAGCTCTATTCCTTTCTGTTTTGAAGTTGTACATTATTGTTTAAACACTAGGCAGAAAATCAGGATGTGATGCCACGTTATGGCATTCACATTGTGGTTCTTCCGACTTTCTTATAGATTTGTATAGATGACAAATTGCAACACATTTTTTTTTCATGAACTGAGTAAAATTCCATCTTATTGAATTACGTCATCCTGTTTCGCGCTCTTCTGCAACATTTTCTTACAAGAAAATGGCGCCACCTCCTGTCAACTCGATTAAAAACTGCTTAAGGTTAGTGTCTTGAAATAAACATTCATTCATGTTGTCTTTTGTCGGTTTTCTTAAAATGAAGGTACATTTGGACGGAAACCGGACCCAATGGTCAAAATCGAAATAACTTATGAAAGTATGAAAGTACAATGTCTTTCGAGATAATTATTCTTACCACTTCTAAAACATGCTGGCTCAGCTTGTAGAGGAGGCGGCCATGTTAAAGCCTGTTTTCCATGAGGAGAAATAACCACATGTATATGTGTTAGATCATCATGTCAGCGTGAGCCATTAAGACAAGTGTTGTCAGATGCTAATAACGTTTTATTGCGAGGGAGGAAACAACAGTAGGAGGCGAGTCTTGCTTTCAACCCAACTTGTTTCACCAATCCCAAAACCACAAAGACAAACAAGAACTATGACAAGGGACAGAACCACCATAAATAGACAGCTATTGACTACAAAGATACTCAAAATAACTAAACAGACACAAACCCATGTATATTTTCAACTTTTTAATGCTGTTTTATTTCTATTTTTAGATGTTTACATTTTAGAATTGTTTATTTCTGCTCATTTAATTTTTACTTGTATGCTGCTGATCCAAATTTCCAGGATTGGATCAATAAAGTACATTTTAACTTATCTTAACAGACTACAAAGAGATTCCAAATGCCCACCAAGAGATCCAAAATGACTTCAACAAGGGGCAAATCAACAGCAGACAAAAAGACTAAACAAATAAGGATGAAAACGACAAAGACATAAAAGAGATGCAAGACATTTTCTAATAATGTAACTTACTTTGACAATATGGCTAAGAACAGGTGCAAAAACAGAAAGAAACCAGACACAAAAATACATTTCATTTCCATCACACTGTGACCTCTAGCAGCAACAACACACTACTCTTAGCTGACGTATGGCTTGGTTCCCATTTCCCTGGTTATGAAGCAGATCCATCCAGAAGACAGCATTGCCATCTAGAGGACTTCAACATGCTCTCCATAAAACTCCACATAATCTCACTATTGCTATCAGGCAGCGGGGCCAGATGGTGTCAGCATGCTGAGGGAAAGGTGTATGTGTGTGTGCCTGGATAATCTTGTTAAATAGTGTTATAGAAACCAACCCTGCCAAACATCAGAGCTCATTTAGCAGCCGCCAGTACATTTACTTACAAGAATTACAACAATACGATCGCTCTCACCGCGCTCAGATCTGCGCTCAGATCTGCGCTCAGATCTGCGTCCAAGCCTTTCTACCCCGACAGACCAAGGTGAGGCCTTATTAGACTCAGCCCTGCGCTCCTGTAAGTGCTGTCAGATGCTAATAAAGTTCCAAACTAACCCTTTAAAACACCCTTTTAAGTCACATAATAACACAAACAAACTAACCGATCAGGGCAGCGGTAAACCAGTAACTGCCATGATATACGAGGTAAAAATGACTGTTTTAGTCCATGGTTCTCTGTTGTTAAAGGCTGTCTAATTGCTAGGTAAAGAAGGGAAAATGTTGTAAACATAGTTAAAACTTCCACTGATTTTGATATTTTTAGGTGGGCCTTGAACTGTAGGTTTTGCTGCTGCCTCGTCAACATTACAGCATGCTGGGGTTACTTGTCTTTCTCCAAACTGGTTCGGTTTTGATTGCCATCCACTTTAGA